GTAACCAGAGTCAGTCACCAGAGTGGCCTCTTGAGTTAGATGTAGAGTAAATGCATATAAGCAGACAGTTTGAAACATAAACAGATAAGTATACACACACACACACGCAAACGCAAACGCAAACACACATGCATTTACTCGTGCACGTACGTGTACTCACACACACACACACACACACACACACACACACACACACACACACACACACACACACACAAACACTCATGGACACGTACACACACACACACAAACACTCATGGACACGTACACACATACACAAACACTCATGGACACGTACACACATACACAAACACTCATGGACACGTACACACACACACAAACACTCATGGACACGTACACACACACACACTCATGGACACATACACACACACACAAACACTCATGGACACGTACACACATACACAAACACTCATGGACACGTACACACACACACAAACACTCATGGACACATACACACACACACACTCATGGACACATACACACACACACAAACACTCATGGACACATACACACACACACACACACAAACACAAACACTCATGGACACGTACACACACACACACACACAAACACTCATGTACACGTACACACACACACACACACAAACACTCATGTACACGTACACACACACACAAACACTCATGTACACGTACACACACACACAAACACTCATGTACACGTACACACACAAACACTCATGTACACGTACACACACACACACACAAACACTCATGTACACGTACACACACACACAAACACTCATGTACACGTACACACACACACAAACACTCATGTACACGTACACACACACACAAACACTCATGTACACGTACACACACACACAAACACTCATGTACACGTACACACACACACACACAAACACTCATGTACACGTACACACACACACACACAAACACTCATGTACACGTACACACACACACACACACAAACACTCATGTACACGTACACACACACACACACACAAACACTCATGTACACGTACACACACACACACACAAACACTCATGTACACGTACACACACACACACAAACACTCATGTACACGTACACACACACACAAACAAACACTCATGTACACGTACACACACACACACAAACACTCATGTACACGTACACACACACACAAACACTCATGTACACGTACACACACACAAACACTCATGTACACGTACACACAAACACACACACACAAACACTCATGTACACGTACATACAAACACACACACAAACACTCATGTACACGTACACACAAACACTCATGTACATGTACACACAAACACTCATGTACACGTACACACAAACACTCATGTACACGTACACAAACACTCATGTACACGTACACACAAACGCACACACAAACACTCATGTACACATACACACAAACACAAACACTCATGTACACATACACACAAACACAAACACTCATGTACATGTACACACAAACACAAACACTCATGTACACGTACACACACACACACACACACAAACACTCATGTACACGTACATACAAACACACACACAAACACTCATGTACACGTACACACAAACACACACACACAAACACTCATGTACACGTACATACAAACACACACACAAACACTCATGTACACGTACACACAAACACAAACACTCATGTACACGTACACACACACACACACACTCATGTACACGTACACACACACACAAACACTCATGTACACGTACACACACACAAACACTCATGTACACGTACACACACAAACACTCATGTACACGTACACACACAAACACTCATGTACACGTACACACACAAACACTCATGTACACGTACACACACACACACACTCATGTACACGTACACACACACACACTCATGTACACGTACACACACACACACTCATGTACACGTACACACACACACACTCATGTACACGTACACACACACACACACTCATGTACACGTACACACACACACACTCATGTACACGTACACACACACACAAACACTCATGTACACGTACACACACACACGTACACACATGTACACGTACACACACACACAAACACTCATGTACACGTACACACACACACACACACAATGTACCTGTGCTCACATGACAGTGACCAAGGAAACTTACTCCTTTTTTCTTTTTCCTTTTCCAGAACTTTCTCTTTGGTATCATATAATGAATTTAGTTAATTACTGAAATTGATTTTTTCTGTTCCTAAAATGTTGCTGCCACATTAAATTCACATTTTGGGTAAAGTGAAAGAAACTTTTTATTTGAATTTTGAAAAGAAACTATTATTTGTTGAGCAGAAAGTTTTCACTTTTATGAAATAACCCAGCATGCAGTGTGATTGAACAAAAGTAGCTATTTATACATTTCATGGTTCTTTGCTATTTTCAAATAACGTAAATATAGCATAAATAAATGTACAGTATGGCCATATTTAGGTAAACCAAATATTGCAATTGCAAAAAAAAATGTGAAATCTACACCCTGCTAGAGTGTTTAATGACATCCCGTAAGATGATTACAACTAAAAATGAGATTCAGTTTTATAGTACCTCCTCTGATGTTCATTGGGAGCTAGAGAGAAAGTTTTCTCCTTCTTCTCCTTCTTCTCTTTCTTCTTCACCTTTCCTCCCCCACGCAGGACGCGGCGGCCGCCGCGCGGGTGCGGTCAGTGATAGTGTGCTCGTGGGATGACTGAGAGGTAGAAGGCATGCACCCTACTCGCGCAGTACGAGACAAGCGGTGAAATGGGCTTGAGAGGCAGCCAAGGGCTGAGGAGCCGCTGCTGCACAGCGGTACCGGCCCACATCCAGGCCTACGGGCGCAGCCCCTCTGCGGGTAGGCCCGCTAACAACCTTTGTGGGGGGTGTAACAGCCATGTTCAAGGTATTCCGTCGTAGGCTGAATCCTTTCTCTGTGGCCTGGGGCCACTGTCCCTCTTGGGCAGTGCGTGGACGGAGCCAGGGTACCCCCTTGGCCGCGGGGACACATTGCCCAAAACAATCAGGTAACGGCAGTACGCAGGGTGATAGGTGGGAAGGATCAGTCCCGAGGGTTCTGCGCGGCTGGCTGTTCCCTTTCCTTGGACTGGGCGGCCCCACACGGGTAGGGCGGACGGGGGGGAGAAACAGAGAGGGGGGGTAGTTAACAGCCAAGTAGGAAGTGAAAGGGGGGCGAAATCGCGACACGGGGAAGGCGAGACAGGCAGGAGCGTAAGGGGCGCAGGGAGACGGAGGAACAAGGGGAGCAAGCGAGGGGGAAAAACAACAAACAAGGCGACGCCAATGGGCAGGGCGGACATACAGGCCGGCCCCGGAGGCAAGGGGGAATGAACGGGGCGTTGCAGAGGGAGCGCAACGGCAGAGAGAAAGAGAGGGCGAGAGGGAGGGAGGGGAGGGAGGGAGGGAGAGAGGCAGAGAGAGAGGAGAAGGAGACGAGAGACAGAGACCGGACACACCACACACACACACACAAGAGAGAGTAGAAGACAAGAGAGAGGAGGAGATAAGGAGCGGAGAGGCGAGAGAGAGAGAGGCGAGAGAGAGAGAGAGGAGAGAGAGAAAGAGAGAGAGAAATGAGAGAGAGAGAAAGAGAGATAGGAGAAGTGAGAGAGAGAGACGAGATAGAGAGAAAAGAGAGAGGAGAAGAGAAGAGAGAGACAGGAGAGAGAGAAGAGAGAGATGAGCGAAGAGAGAGAGAGACAGAGAGAGAGAGAAGATGAGAGAGTGAAGAGATAGATAGAGAGAGAGAGAGAAGAGAGAGAGAGAAGGAGAGAGAGAGAAGAGATGAGAGAGAAGAGAAAGAGAGAGCGAATGAGAGAGAGGAGAAGAGTATAGAGAGAAGAGAGAGAGAGAGAATGACGAGAGAATAGAGCGAAGAGAAGAGAGAGGAAGAGAGAGAGAAGCGGCGAGAGAGCTGAGAGAGAGAGAGAGAGAGAGATGAGAAGAGAGAGAGAGAGAAGATAGAAGAGAGAAGAGAGGACGAGAGAAGAGAGAAGATGAGAAGAAAGAAGAGAGAAGAGAGAAGAGAGAAAGAGATAAGAGGGAGATGATGAGAGAGAGAGAAGAGAAGAGGGACGAGAGAGAGATGAGAGAGAGAGAGACGAGAGAAGAGGGAGAGAGAGAGCGAGATATATGGAGAAGACGAAGAGGAGAGAGAGAGAGAGAGAGAGAAGAGATAGGAGAAGAAGAGAGAAGAGGAGCTAGATCGAGAAGAGATAGAGAGAGAGAGGGAGAGAGAGAGAGAGAGATAGAGAGAGAGAGAGAGAGAGAGAGATAGAGAGAGAGAGAGAAAGGTAGAGAGAGTAGAGAGAGAGAGAGAGAGAGAGGAAGAGAGATTAGATATAGCAGAATATATATATATAGAGAGAGGATACTATATACAGATGAAGAGATAGAGGCTAGGGAGATATAGAGAGATGGAGATTATATAATAGAGGGATGAAGATATAGAGAGAGATGTAGAGAAGAGAGAGATTGAGATAGATGGAGACACTATGGTAGATAGAGGGAGAGGGAGAGAAGAGAGACTATAGAGAGAGGAGAGAGATAGAGAGAGAGAGTATAGAGTAGTAGGGAGAGAATAGAGAGAGAGGAGAGTGGAGAGAATAGAGATAGATGAGATAGGAGAGGAGATGAGAGGAGAGATGAGAGAGAGAGAAGTTAGGAGAAGAGAGAGAGAGGGAGAGAAGAGAGAGAGAGATGAGATAGAGAGAGAGGGAGAGAATGAGAGAGAGATAGAGGGAGAGGTAGAGAAGAGCGATAGAGAGAGATAGAGTAGAGGAAGAAGAGAAGAGAGAGAGAGGGAGAGGTAGGAAGCGAGGAGGAGGAGAGAGAGAGAGAAGAGAGAGATAGAGAGATAGAGGGAGTGGAGAGGAGAGAATAGAGATAGAGAGAGAGGAGGAGAGAGAGAGAGAGAGATAGAGAAGTAGGGAGAGGAGAGGAAGAGAGAAGACTAGAA